ATATATATATATATATATATATATATATATATATATATATATATATATTACATATATCTTTTTTACCTTGAAATATCTCTATATATATGTATTATTATTATATATGTATCATAGTAGGATAATTTATTTTAAAACAAAGAATATTCTGATTAGGGAATCTGAGTTGCATTTGGAAAAATACTAAAAAATTTCTATGCGGAATGATGGCGAGTATATGTTGTTAATTAAATAAATTTCTTTTTAAAATTATATCAAGTTTATTGAAAAATACGACGGAAATTATGCAATTACTTAATAATTTATGTATGAAAAAGATATCATATTTTTTCCATGTGTATGAACCAGTGACGTTAAGAATATATGAACAAATTATTGTGCTTTGTGAGCAGAATTGTAATATAACGTGTTGCTTTGTTACTTCAATATTCTCTCAATATTATTTATTGAGACAACGCATTTTCTCAAATATATATCTCGAATTCGAGGTGACTCTGGTTCACGATCAGATCGAACTCCCGCACTCTCTTATTTCTGGATTGCGAAGAAAACTCCCGCACAAAACTGATATCCTCTCGATAAAAATTTTATGTACATTCCCATTTTTCTTTCACGATCTGCCGATATTCATTTTCGCCGAAAGAATAAGAGTGAGGATTTTGCGCGCGCGGTTCTAACGTTCGACTGGCGATTTTTACGTTTTTATCGAATACCGCCGTTGTTTCCCACGACAAGCGCTTTTCACTCTCATGCATAACTACGCAAATTTCCGAGATCCTGGCGCGGTAACGGCGGCAATGCAAACCCGTACTTTGCATACCGTCGCCGGGGAAAGTCCGCGGCATACCCTGTAATCAGAGCACTTTCGCTTCTCCGAGTCAAAAGCGTTAAGTATTTTCGTACCTTGACGCAGGTGCGCATCCATCGCGTTCCGCCGGTGTGCTCGTTTATCCTCAATTTCGTCAAGCTCTATTCCGCCTTCATCCTTATCCCCGACACTCTCTACGTCGGCAAAACTACCGAGGCATCCCGACGCGTAATTCCCGTTTCAGATTTGCGAGAGATAGTGCCTCTTATCCCTCATACTATTCTAATTAAACCGCACATGAGTAAAACTCTAGCCTGGAGTATACCCTAATTCGAGGTGAATTAAACGTACCAACGTGAAAACGAAGAGACGGATCGTACAGCCACAAATTGCCGCTGACGAATGATCGCTTTGTTGTCAGTTTGCAGATCTTTTATTTTAAATTATCTTTTATTAGTAAATTCTGCTATATTCATTTAATTAATTATGCAACTTACAATAGTTATTTACTTTTTGTATTGATTCATCTATCTAATCTAACATTTTGCAAACTTTTTTACTTCTTATAAATATATTTGCTCACTTCTTGTAAATGCGTTCTTAGAAGACTAAATTGTGAAACGATAATAAATGAATCTACATCTACATTTTCTTTATTTCTATTCATTAATTAATTTCTATATATTTTTAATAATATATATATATTATATAGAATTTAATATAAAAAATTTTAAAAGTCCGAAATCCGTTTCATGATCTGACTGTTCGACGGATCTTGAAATTTTGATCCTACTTTTGACCTCAAAATTCAATTTAACGCTTACTTTGATACTCTAAAGCCTATATTAATTTCTATTAATCTACTAATTTTGCCGATAGGTCCTCTTTAAAACTTGCAAGTCGTATTTTGTGTATTTTCTACCATGTACAAACGCTAATTGAGATTTTAATTTGAATGTATATTAAATATACACTAACTTTTCAGAATGCATAGACATTGTAAAGGATTGGAAATAGAGCTAAAATTGCGATTCGTTATCTTCAATTTTTAATCCTCGAATGTTAATGCTTAAAATTATATAAAAGTTTAACGTAACGTTTATCGCAGTAAAACATATTTGTAATTAAAGTTTTATGCGATTTGTCTGTGCCGTTCATGATAAATTTAATATTGAATATCGTAATTTTGTATATACAACTTCATGGTAGAAGCAATGCAGATAGCATTGATAGATATGTTATTCCAGTGTAACTTCGTAAAAAAGTGATACCATTTAGAAATAAAAAACTTTCCGTTATAAATGTTACGTACAAAACGCGGCATAGAAGAAAGAACAGTATTCACTGCACTATTCTTGTGTAGCAATCGATTGCAGGTGAAAACATTTCTGTTTCGCGTAGCATTCGCGGATAAAACGTTTGGTTGAATTAATGAAATTTCTATGTAATGAAATATAGAAAATTCCAATTGAAGGTATCAGAACTCTATTTAGTTTAACCGAGATCTTGTTAACTTGGACAAAATTCTGGTAGTTTCAACGAGAATTTTTGGCTCATTCATCTTTCACCAGAGATTTGATTAATTCAAACTGTTTTCTCGTGTTGTGCTGAGCGAAATGTAGCAAAGTGATATCATGAAATTGGTGTCGAATTAACGCTTATTATTGAGATAGTGAAATAAATGTAAAAAGGACGAGTGATCTTGTTCGATAAATAGCGAATGTATGAGTGGTTTCCTTGATGTGCCACTGTAAATACGCCCCTTGAGCGCCCTATAAATAATAATGAATAAACTCCCTAATCGCGTCATCACGTTCATCAGCGAGAACGACGTACGATGCTCAAGCAGCCGCGTCTCTTTTCTGCCGCAGAATGGACCATGAGGAAACGCGGTGCCGGCTGGTAGCAGACGAGCGATCGGGCACGCTTGCACCACGTCGCTGGTCCTCGTCGTCGCGTTCCCGGTGTCACGTCCAGTCCCGAAGCCGGCAGGTGTCGCGAGCGGCAGGTACGAGCTCGACAGGTGCGATAATCGGGGGTGGCCCGGTCGCTGCCGCCGGGCCGGCGATGCGACGATGAGCTCGCCGAGGGTGCCACTACCCCTCCACACCCGACCAAAGGTGAGACAGTCCCCATTATTTTCCGAGCGACCCGTCAGCTCGCTTCCGGGCGATTTTCCTCTCAATTTCAAGCCGCCTAACGCGAGATATAATCCGCACCCCTGGCGTCTATTCGCGAACCGCTATTATTTTAATTGTTACAAGAATATTCCTCCTGGTTGTCGTTCGAAGCAAATCGGCTTTGACGAATTGTCAAGTTTTAGGACGCTGAAATTTTCCTCCCCCTTCCTGAAAGGAACTAGAACGGTTTGAAATCTTCAAAAAATCGATTTTTAGGTTTTTACATAATCGTTTAGTACAATTCTTTAAGAACATTTTGGCGCAAGAAGAACCTCGATATTCGCAAAATTGAATTCAGGAGAGCGAAAAATTTGAGGCGGAGCGCGAGCGATCATGTAGTGTAAGAAATGTAGATATTGTTTATTTACAACAAATTGATAAACCTAATAACCTAGTACCTAATAACAGTTCGAGAACTTAGAAATAATAATATCGGAAATAAAGGCTATAGTGTGAAAGTCACTACTAACAAATATAAGAGTAACAACAAAGGAGACGAGAACAGTCGCTCGGTCGGTAATAGAAGTAGTTGGTCATTTATTTTTCAAAACAGTATTTTTCGCTCTTTTTGTCACGATAACTAAAAAGCGGCTGAAGATATCTATTTGATCTTTTTTTAAATTAAAGATAAAGACGTACTGCATAGATTGAACCGAAGTTTGCATATGAAAATTAATGTTTTAATACCGTTTTAACAATAACTTGAATTTTTAGACATTTTTTCCGTTTTTTGTCCGCTATTTCTCTAATTTTTGAGATTTTTAGTTCCATTCCGGTTCAATTATAGAGGGAAATCTCATTTACAAAATGACGCCTGGCGCATTAAAAAATTCCAACTCGTTTTCTCGGAACCGTGGCAAAACCGCCAAAACAACGTTTTTTTAATTTAACAATATCTCACTCAATTATTAATATTTTTTTAACTTCTACCGCTTATTGTATTCCTAAAAATATAAAAACTAAACAAACCTTGTGTATGTTTATTCGTTTGTCGACAATTGTCATTTGATTTTCACTCAATTTTCAGAAGATGAAACCGTTCTAATCCCCTTAATCGAATATCTCTTTTGAGTATGATGTTACCGAATAACATTGTAACGAGCACGCGAAGCTAACGCTCACGTTCAATCAAGTAGAAGAGCGGCTGTGATTGGTCACGACAAATAACGCTGTTAATAAATCGTAATCATCGCTCACAACGTAGCTATCTTCGGAAGAATCCTCGAAGGAATGAACTTTCAAGAAATCGACGGTCTATAAGTTCTGCTCTCGCGAAATCACTGCGCCCTGCGAGGAGATAATCTCATCTCACTAAACATTTCTTAAATTACGTTGAGCGAACGGCAGCGACGCGTCATGTTCTCACGAAAGTTCAGCTATCCGTCGGGTAAGTTGTCATTTTCCACCGACACAAGCTTTCCTAGTCCGAGGGGAATTGTTAACTAAGTTGATCCTGCGAGCCGAGTGATCCACGCGTAGCGAGCCGCGCTCGCGCCGATCATCAATCAAACTCAGAGCCGAGCGACCTCGTGACATCGCAGACACCGTCCTGATCCTCCGCACAGACCTTCGCGGCTTTCGCGCGTTAACGTAACTCGTCGATTCGCGAGATTGCGAGAATTCGTACCGCTCGCAAAAATCCCGTGAGTCTCTCGGCTTCGCAGGCCTCGACTTCGAGCGCGCGCGGACGCGACGGCGAGATCTGGAGGAGCGCGCGAGAGACAAAAGGGCATTGTTAATGTGAGTAGCGGCTCCTGAATACGTGCCTAAGTCTTTCACCTTTGTGCCCCGACAGCCCCGCGTAGTAGCAAGGCCGGGTCGTCTCAGCAGCGAGGCCGAGCGACGAGGAGGCGCGACCGGAGGCGGTTCAAGGCCGAGACTATCCGCGTGGCCATGGACCACGAGGCGAGGAACGGAACCGGCAGCAACGACCACGACGAGGAGTTCACTAATATTTACTTCATCGTCGGCGACCGCATGGAGACGGCCACTTACAAGGCGAACCAGGTCACGGACATGGAACTCAAAGGTCAGTGGAGATTTACGTCTTACCTAACTCATTCATTTGTCAATGAAAACTTCACTTGCCCACCGCGTCCCGGGCGAGAGAGAAAGAGCGAGTTTTTTCGTCAATTCATTTCGACTTTGAATTCGCGATTGAGGTACTCGGCAACGTTGGGAAAACGGATATACGGTCGCGACGACTCGTTGCCAAGACGATAAAACCGAAAATTATTCACCCAAAAAGTATAATCTCATCCTCAGCGGAATCCTCTTATATGACCTCGAGAGGATTCTTCTGAAGCCTTCCGAGAGTAGAATATTCCAACAGCCGAAACAAGAAATTCTAGTCGCAAGCTGCTGCTTTCTGTAATCCCACATTTACGCGAAGACGTTTGCTGAAAGACTATTTCTCTTCCAATAAAGAGGTGTTATATTGTACTTAGGATATTTTCTTTTTGGTTTTACAAGAATCCACTTGAAGTCATACATAAAAGTTCTGAAATAGACTGATGTACGTGAAGTGTGCAGTAACTTTAAGTACATTAAAACACAAAATCCAGCAACGTTGAATACGTTATGGTTGATCAAGTTGCACTCATATTTTCATCACATAGAGTGACGAGATAAAAATACGAAAGAAATACGAGAAGATTATTATCTTTACTTAATATATTCGTGCCACAAACTGATTTTCTCACACAATGTCTTTGTCTCTAACATCCTTGACTTACTGTCTCAACAGTATTTAGGAAGTTTGATTGTTCTCCTTGGTGGTATCATTAGAAACTACTTCATTCAATTTAGCCTATGCTACATCGTCTGTTTAAACGTTGTAGTTGCAATGATGCACTGCGTTGATCATCATCATCATCAAGAGAGGAATAACTGAATTTGTTTGCGTTTCGCAAACTTATGATTTGTTAGCGAATATTTAACTTTTACCTTTGCTGGTTATGTTTTATTTTCGTCTCAATTGACTTTTGCGTTTTTGACTAGCGAGTTCTTTCTTAATATTAATTAAATATAATTTGTTTATTGCAGAGGTCGAGCCAAAGCGGGTCGAAACGTATAGGTTTTTTTTAAATGTAATATAGATAATGTAATATAAATTGCATTACTACATTTGTGCCTGGCTCTTAAATGCTATTTCCTCGTTCCTTCTTTTATTTTATTTTATATCTAAGAGCCATTTCTGTTTACTTTTAAAATTATTATAATTTGTTCAAAACAATATGTTACGATAATTGTAATATGAAAATCTAAGTGTAACTTTTCGTAAATTCGTTACTGCATTAATATAACAAAAAATTTGCATTGTTGTATGATGTAAATTTAATAATTCAATACAATATATTTACTTTATAGATATAATCAAGGGAATTGTAAAGTTTCCATCATCGATTGTCTCACGTCGTGATAATCCACGTTGTGGAAGTTAGGGAGGATTCCGCTAAGAATAAGATTACATATTTTTCGAGTGCTATCATGCATTATTCTTTCGTATTGATTTGAATATCTTTCATAGTAAGTAATATTGGGTTTTCCCATTTGCGTATAACTTTTGAAAGGTCTTACAAGGTATTGATGTTTAACCCTAGAAAGGTAGCGTAAGTAACTTGTGCTCATCCTTAAAGCCTTCACTTCAGAAAGGTCGTGATAATCTATGATGCGATTAAAGTAGGGTTGAGTAACTTTTGTTCGCATTTAAGTAATATCTCACAAGAAAGCAGCGATATTCGTTTCACACAGTGAGTGAAATAAGCATTAGAGAGGAGCCTAATTGCTTTAAATATAAATAAAAAAGGGTTCATTTGTACTTCACTATTTACTGAAGACGATTCTGGACACGTCGAGTGGCGCACTCGCAAAGTTTCAATTATCCGCGCTCACTCTTGTATCGAACGAAACTGGCGCGAAGGCATATCGCGGCAGTTCGGAGTTATCGTCCGTGGAAATCACATTAGACGCCGTACACCCTTGAAACTCTCATCCTCGCCGTCGAGGCTCGCGCGGTGAACGTCGCAATTACGGATTAAGCAAGATTCATTGTCGATCCCCGGGAGAATGAAATTTGCGACTCGCCGGTCTTGAGTGACTCGCGAGGCGGGCGAGGGAAAAAAGCGCGTTTTCAAAAACAGCCGTCCATTATGTGTATATAAGCGCGAGTCATTAATCTCCCTGCCGACGGGGTGAGAGAGACGTCTCTTATCCGGAAATAACTTATAAGGCTCTCCCCGGCGTCCAACTGAACGTTCTCTCTCCCGCAGCTTTTCACTCCGACTTTAGGGCCGCGCGAGCGTGTACCTTTCGACGGCGGGCTAAATGCGGCATCATGATGTCCTACGCGATGATGACATCGGTGAATATTTGACGCTCGCAGGATTTAAGCAATTATCGATCGCGACGCGCCGCGTCGAACTGCGCCGGCCAATCCCGGCTCCGAGACGTTCGTTCGCCTTCGTCCCGTCGCCCGTGTACGAAAGCTTCCCGTCGAGCCACCTACCGAAATTATGTTTGCACACACTTCACCTTCGTACCGTGACCTATCGACCCGGGTCTATCGCTGTTTCATCCCGGCCGCGTGGAGTGGCTGACCGGCGCCGCCTGCAACCCCCTGACTGCCTGCCTGCCTGTCTGCCGGGCGAAACAGCACGAGCACGCACTCGTCGTTGCCGACACGCCGTGTACTCTTTCAACCCTTTCGCGGACGGGATAATTATACCGCGCGTTTGAGGGGCTCGACGTCGACAACGACGGTGACGGGGGCGGTGGCGGTGTTGAGAGAGAAAGACGGAGCACGTAGTAGCGCCGGCTGTGGAGCCGCGGATCGGGCATTTTATTATTCTCATCCTTCTTACGAATTTTCCCCATGAATCTGTATACATTGAGCGTTTGTATAAAGAGCCTGCGAATAGTTGGCCACATTGAGAGAAAAATTATATTAAAATCAACAAATATTTCCTTGACGTGCCGTTACATACGACATATTTACTTAAAAATAATATAACTAAAAAACTCTTCTTGAATATATCAAAATTAACCTAAGGACAATTAGAGTTCAAGCACAGGTTGATTAGTGCTATTAAAAACTATTAAAACATAGTGACACAATCTCGCCATGAGAACAAATTTTATTATGTATCATATGATATGTAATAAAAATTTGTTCTCATGGCGAGATTGTGTCACTATGTTTTAATAGTTTTTAATAGCACTAATCAACCTGTGCTTGAACTCTAATTGTCCTTAGGTTAATTTTGATATATTCAAGAAGAGTTTTTTAGTTATATTATTTTTAAGTAAATATGTCGTATGTAACGGCACGTCAAGGAAATATTTGTTGATTTTAATATAATTTTTCTCTCAATGTGGCCAACTATTCGCAGGCTCTTTATACAAACGCTCAATGTATACAGATTCATGGGGAAAATTCGTAAGAAGGATGAGAATAATAAAATGCCCGATCCGCGGCTCCACAGCCGGCGCTACTACGTGCTCCGTCTTTCTCTCTCAACACCGCCACCGCCCCCGTCACCGTCGTTGTCGACGTCGAGCCCCTCAAACGCGCGGTATAATTATCCCGTCCGCGAAAGGGTTGAAAGAGTACACGGCGTGTCGGCAACGACGAGTGCGTGCTCGTGCTGTTTCGCCCGGCAGACAGGCAGGCAGGCAGTCAGGGGGTTGCAGGCGGCGCCGGTCAGCCACTCCACGCGGCCGGGATGAAACAGCGATAGACCCGGGTCGATAGGTCACGGTACGAAGGTGAAGTGTGTGCAAACATAATTTCGGTAGGTGGCTCGACGGGAAGCTTTCGTAC